TGATCTGATTTTTTTTGTTGTTTTTGTTTCACATGGGCTGTGATGGTTCTGGTGTGTTTGTATGTCATTTTAGTAGTGTCTGTGTAACTCATTTATATTTTTTCCAAACTGGTGAAATACTTTTTGAAAGATCAGATTTTTTTTGATTGAAACCTAATTATGAGGACTAAAATGGGGAAAAATTCTTATAATTTCTCAGAACAGACTAATTCTCTTTAATATTGATATTAATGTGATCTCTTGGTAAAACTAAGGTAGTATGTTTAAGAGTTAATCTATTTTTTTAAAATGTATACACCCATCAGGGATAATGAGCTAACGCACAATACATGTTTTCATGGAAATGGTAATGTAAACGGTATTTCATTCTTGGATAAGAACATAATTAGGTACTAAAATTATTCTTGTTAATATATACTAGAAAATGCTTTCAATTACCTATTACTTTTAGAAACAAGTAAATTGGAAAAAGAGAAAAGATCCTGAGTTACATACATGATTGAACAACTGTTATTTCTTATTTTTTGTCATTCATTCATTCATTCAACAAATGTATATTGAGAATCATCTCTGTTCTAGTGATGTGCTTAGTGATGTATTTTGTTCTGCTGTTATTGAAAACAGTAGTGTGGATTCATTTTATAGATTTCAAAGTGTAACATTTAATAAATTCTAATCTTGGTGAATCCACTGGATAGATTACAAATAAATATAATTTTATAAAGGTAAAGGTAAATTTTTATTGAATAAGCCCAGTATGTATATATGTATATACATACATAACTTTTATACTTTTTTTTTCAAATCCTATTTACAGGTCTTAAACAAAAATGGAATGGTTGAGTTTTCTGTGACAAGTAATGAGACCATCACCGTTTCCCCAGAATATGTTGGCTCTCGACTGTTGTTGAAGTTAAAGGAAATGGCAGAGGAGTATCTTGGAATGCCAGTTGCTAATGCTGTCATTTCTGTACCAGCAGAATTTGATCTGAAACAGAGAAATTCAACAATTGAAGCTGCTAACCTTGCAGGTAACAGCTCCCTTGCCTAACTTGCATTTTTCTCAAAATTTTGTTAGGTAGAACAGCTAATGGAAACGGCCACACTGTATGGGGAAAGGACACACTTGTAGCCCTGGCTTGGTTGAGGCAAACGCATTTCACGTGACCAAAATGTTTGTACCCCCATAATATCCTGAATTAAAAAAAAAAATTGTTAGGTTGAAAATCTTCTGTAGTAAGGTTTATTACTGTCTAGACCACCTAACTACAGGCACATAAACTATATGGTAGTTAAATTAGATTGATTTTTATATAGTTTTATAAATGATAATTATGCAAGCTCTGTAGCACAATGTAAAATGTGTATGTAACAAGAACCAGTCAGATAGGTACATGGCAAAGGCTGAGAGAAAACATGGACACGTGTTAACGGTGAGATGTTTTTCTTCTAAGCTTTCTTTAATATTAAGGTAGATAATGTAATGTTTAAAAAAAAAATTGGAGGTGGAAGAGAATTCATTTAGCCCCATTCAGCAAATATTGAGTGCCTTGGTAAATAAAATTAATAAATCTTTATTCTCATGGACCTTGTGTTCTACTGGAGGGAAACATAGAATAAGCAGAAAAGATAAGTTTAATACAGGATTTTTCACCCTCAGTAATACTGATATTTTGGGCTGGATAATTCTTTGTTGTGGGCGACTGTCCTGTGCACCACAGAATATTTAGGAGCATCCCCAGCCTCTACTCACTAAGTCCTAACAGCGCCCTCCATAACCAAGTGGTGATGGTGACAATCAAAGATACCTCCATATATTTCCAGATGTCTCCTGAAGGTAAAATCACTCCTCCTTGAGCACCACTGGTACAGGATACTTCAGAAAGTAACATGCTATGATATAAGAGAACATGATAAGGGATCAGGATTGCTGGTGGTGGTCAGGGGATTGGGGGTTGTAGGTTTGAAATAAGGTGATCGGATAGGCCTCATTGAGAAAATGACATTTAAGCATATGTGAAGGAAGTTAAGGTAGTTATAGCTATGTAGACAGATGGAGAAAGTGAGTTGCAAGGAAAGGAAATGGCCAGTGCAATAGCCATAAAATGGGAATTTGCTGGTGTGTAACAGGATAGGAAGTTGGCCAGTCTGGCCAGAGTAGAGTGAATGATAAAGTCAGAGAGCTAAAGGGAAGGGTGTTACGATCTTTGGAAGCATTCTTTAGAATTTGAATGTTATGGCTCCTCATAATATAATGCCTTATTACTTCCCAGACCACTCATTAAGTATGGCAGTTAGGTTAAAGCATGAATTTTGTTCCAGGAAACCCAATATTTTGCCTTTGTAGAATAAGCTTATCTCATTAGTTTATGGTATACAATGATTAAAGTTTTATTGCTCATATATTCTCAAGTAGAATATGAATGTTAGAAAAGGCTGAGAGATTGAAAATTAAAAATTAATGAAGAACAAAGTAACTTATTCCACTGAACCTGGGCTTTTATTTATTTATGTTGTAATCTTTCAGAATAATTTTAATGATACTATTTGGAAGAGCCTATATTTATTGTTTTTATTTCATATTTCTATTGAGTTTGTGACTGCTGTCATTATTACTCAGTGGAGTTCATGTCATAGAAGACAGAAACACACTATGAGGTTGAGTGGGAAGGAATTTGTTAATAGCATCCTTTTAAGAGTTCTTCCCTTCAACCGATCTTACAGGATTGAAGATCTTGAGAGTAATAAATGAACCCACAGCGGCAGCTATGGCCTATGGTCTCCACAAGGCTGATGTCTTCCATGTCTTGGTGATAGACTTGGGCGGAGGAACTCTAGATGTATCATTACTGAATAAACAAGGAGGAATGTTTCTAACCCGAGCAATGTCTGGTAAGAAAAATACAAGGAGAGTTTAAAGAGGTTCAGGCAGTGCTTTCCTTAACATATTTAATATGTAGTACGTTTTTTTCCAGAATTCCTTGACTTTATTTTGGTAATTTTATGTATATGTAATTTTATATCACCACTTATGTGCATTTACAGCAAAAAGTTAAGTCTCAAAAAATGACTGGGCATCCTATAAATCAAATAAATACATTGCCAGTTATAGCTCACTGAGCCAATAGGACTTTTCATGGTGACGATGAAGGAAGGGAACAGAGAGAAGAAAAATTGCTTTAAAATGAAGAGTGATCAATGTATTTCGTTTGATATTATGTTTTATAAAGTAGATGGCTTTAGAAAATCTAATTTTAGTGTTCCCTAGGAAATGATAGGCTTTGCATTCTAAATCTTTGTTTAAAGGTTTTTGTCTTAGGTTAAAGAATTAAACCTGTTTGAAAAGTTGAGATGTAAGTTATAGTGTGTCCTAACCTCTGCGTTTTGCTTTCTCTTATCCAGATGCTTTCAAACCAAGCTAAATGCTGGGGATTTTTATTACATTATATTTTTCCTTTGAAATAATTTTTCTTTTACTTTATCTTTTTTTTTTTTTTTAGAGACAGAAT